ATAGACAACGACCGAAAGCCGAATAACGCCAGAGAACACGTGAGTACTGCTTCGAAAAAGATTTCACTGTTCAGCCTCGAATTTAAGAGGATAATTTACAAAATATACTAAGAGAGAGACTGTCGAGATACATTGACCGAACATTATTCGCCTCCAATCTGAGAATCACATACGTCTGTCAGAAACTCATCAGTCAGTACGCAGACGATTGGGCCACATCACTGTTTACATATCAGTTTGCTTGCTCTGTTGGAGTCGAGTATATCTGGGGTACTATGCGTCTGCTAATGCAACGTGCTTACAAACACTACTCAACCTGGCTGACAGGAAACTGCACAATCAGCTCTGCAACATAACACTTAGTAAACTCAGGAAATTTGGCTCTTTTGGATGAGTTCTTCAAAAGCTTGTAGAAATTGCGACGAAGCCAATCGAAAGGAGTAAGGTTCAGACATCTGAACATAGATGAAGCAGTAGAAGTTTGAAGATTTAACGATAATTATGCTTTGAAAAGAAGTATGTACAACCCCTCTGTCTTTCATGACCATCACAGACGACCAATCACTCTAGATATTCCATATGATGTAGCTGGTTTCATTGTGTAGTCATTTTGCTTATTTCGCCAATGTAAACGTTTACAGACATTACACTAGGAAACTCTCCCCTATCATGCAAATTCTACTGGCCTTTAACCAGGAATTACTCTGTTATATTCTAATCTTTCTTCTACTATTAACGAATGTGCAGCTAAGAGAATGATTTCGTCAAAAAGAAACATCTCTCTTCGCTGCAATCATCTTACGTGTTCTCAAATGACTATGGTTTTTCTATAGGACAAACCGTTTTAAACTGTTGTGATGCTTTTCAGTGGGAATTACTGGCAATCGAATCACGGTGAATGAACTAAAGATTTCCCTCGGTCGACTCAAGGTTCGTTGGTATTACTCTTTGGTCAAATGAAGGTCAGCCCGACATCCATCTAACTACCGAAGTCACTAGGAAATCCGCCGGTATAAAGAACAATGAAAACTGTCAAACAGAATTTGTGGAAAAAAGGATTAACAGTTTGTACTTATCAGAATCAGAATAAGTTTCCTCTTCTCACTGTCAAATGTCCGCATTGCAAACAGTTTAAGTCCTTCTACATTTGTCACTTTTACTTCATCGCGATCACGTCACATTTTGTTATTCAATTCTTGGCTCAGCGTTCGTATCAGTAACACTATGATGACAGTTCCACATCTCAATCTCTTCAGAATCATTATCAGTGATGAAATGTTGTTGCGAGTCAGTCTGTGCTTGATGATGATCTCGCTGACATTCTCGTCTCATTGTTACCGCCACTGCAGTCGACAAGTTCCTCTTCATAGTCTCATCACTCATCAATCCGATTTTGGTGTGCATTGCAACCAGCAATGCTATGAGAATGATTGCGAAAAAATTGGCCAACATGTGATAGGCGAATAAGTTTGTGGCAGCTGGTATACTCTCTGTAGCAGTCTGATCCCATGTAGGCATCCATGAAATTTCGGGTAGAGAATTGCTCCAACCTAGAACAACGATGATAGAATAAGAAGAGGGAGAATGTTAACCAGAGTCACGAACAGATACTGCACAGCTTGTTGACAACTGATATGCAACATTGAATAAATTTATGACTGTCATGGTAATCACTACATCGGTATCTGTAGAGGCTGACAGACATTCTGGATGACTATCCGACTGACCAGATGAGATAATGTAGTGTCTGAGACAACAAGTCACTGATTGTTTGGGGTCGATGAAGCGTTAGGCGCCATATATTATCAACACAATACACAAAGCAGAAACAAAACATTGACGAAATGCAGAAGTCGAAGCACTCACGGACAGAGGAGATCAGTCCAGATTGTCGTAGTCTGATTTCCTTATCTAATTCTGAGAAGTGGAAGAATATTGTCATCTGTTGGTTTAAATACGTCGAATAACAGTGTCTCCACCCTCTGATCGAAAATGAGAATTGAGAGAATGTGAGTCCCTAGAATGCATCTTGATTTGTATCAATCACTCGACAATAACTACCATGTGAGTTTGACTGCATAATGAACGCCTATGCAGCAACCTGGAATTCATGGCAGAGATGCAATCTAAAGTAACTGATTTGAGAGACTGATGACTGTGGTCACTAGATCAGACTGAATCTTATCGAGTAATCGAGAATCTTAGATGTGAAGGCTGTTCTACTATGATGTATATTAACATTGACCATATTATTTATTGTATATCGTCACTTTTAGCCAATGGTCTACTCGATGCATGCAACTTCCACATTTCCCACTCGTTGGATACACCACATATGAATAATGTTGCAGAGATATTTATTGTCAAATATTATATGACGACCTGCCCTAGACGATAAATACTTTGAAGTTCAAATATTGTAGGTTATAAGTCAGGGTCACCTTCAAGTGCATAGTTTGTTAGACTGTAGAGATTTATCTGATGAAGTAAACGATTTTTAAGGGTTTGAAGGGAAACTTGGAAATAATTTCCATTACCAACCAAAATAACCTAAACTCTTCACTTTAAGCACAGCACACTAAACATACATCCTGCCTTATTTAGAAACTACTTAACAAGTCACTTTACAACACTTCTCAGGATTTAACTTGCGATTCGATCTGCAGTTCATCTTCTATCCCTTTGACCACTGTGATAAAGCATGATTTTATTTCTGTTCGTTAGTCCAATACACTGCATATTTATCACTTAGAAGAAACCTTAGTTTACGGCTTCTTATCAGGTGAAATACGACCCCTTATCTGTACTGCCTATTACTCAAAGAATGGTGACATACAACTTTTGCTTGTATGGAATTACAGACGTATACTTCTTTGAAAATGACTACAGAACATTTATCAACAAAAGAAGAAGACAGGTGAACATGAAGAAAACTTCAACACACACACACACACAACCACACTAATATGTCAACATTGGTATATCTGTCAACCCTCCGTCATAGAAAAGTCAGTTGGTTACAGTAGGGACGTTTCATGTCACTTTAAGTCTGAAATCTAAAATGAAATGAAATCTGAAATGATGGTAACGATTAACGAAAGCAAGAAAACTCATTCGGCTCATGATAAGCTGTTTTTAATTCATCTACTGTCATGATAATGACATTTCGTGGAATAAAAAGAACACCTGAGAAATAGAAAAATCTCTTCGGTTCTTGTTTTATGTTTATGCAAACATGACAGGTCTGTTATTAATAATACTGCTCATCTTAATTCTCTTATCGACTTAGCAATAAGTTGATGTTGTTGCAGTGTATGCTGTTTACTTCTAAGAAAATGTTTATCTTACGTATAACAGAAAAGATGTGAAGATTACAAGTTCATTTATTGGTCAGTAAATCACATTGGTTATGTATCCCTTCAGATAAGCATATGTGAATACAACATTATGATGAGGTGCAGTTAATAACCAGTGAAATTAATTTATGCTATCCTGTGTCTTATCTCATTTGGCATGGTAGAACAGTATTTGGGAGTTGTACGCTTGATGAGTAGGTTACGAAACTTTGCAAATTTTATTTATAATTAATACATCCCCGTATAGCATTCCACCTGGAGAACAGCATATACCATAACCAAGGGAAATAAAAATCAAGTACAATCACATGGTGTTCATTTATAATGTTTGCACCTCTAGTTTCTATAAATTGTATAAGATTGATGTACATAGTGCCTCACTGTATCTTTCTAAACAAGTGTTACTTATATACATTTTGAGATCCCTAGGGACTAAATGGATGATGAAGATGCTATTGAAAATGTAGAATGATAGTGCATCAATCTGAGCTACCAGAACAGTCAACGTCACGGCTACTGATACTTATTATTATCATTATGCTGTCTGTCTTCCATCACTTCAACTTCCCCGCATATGTGCTGGTGTGGAGTGTTACAGCTTCAACCAATATAGACATTCATAGAGGACCCTTGGTGTTCATGCCTGTTTATTTATTCAAATACCTCAGCAATATGTAGACTAGTTTGGTGAAAATTGGCTAGTTATCAGTGAATACAGTTATTATTCCTACTTATGTGATATTCAGTCTGATGCTTCTACTTGCCTATTAACAATATTTTAAGTGAAATCACACGGCCAATTCATATCCACAAAATGTCCACTGATCTTTTCGATCAATTCAAACTAACAATCTCATTAACTGAATGTCTTTCTTATCTAAAATTCTACAACTCAATAAAATGACACCTATTCCACGTTTTACTGTCAATTATTCTCAATCAATTGACTTTACACGTTAAGCTTTATTTACTTTCACAGATACGTTGAAAAATGAGTTGCGCTGGCTAACTGTTTCAGCCTAGTTTGGAACTTCTTGGCAGCGCCTACCTCCATATGACCACATGGATGATCGAGCCAACTACTTAATCTTACCTCAACTTGGCGTTTGATTGGAGTACATGTAAGACAAATGAAAGAGACTGATTTGACACAAGGAGTAGCAGTTCATAAAGCTACTAGCCGCTGCTGTATATATCATTGAATTGTGAGAGTGATACAGATTTATGAATTACGATTGTTCCACTCCATTTGATTATCGATAGTATCCTTTTGCACACTGTTTCGAAATGTGGTAAAGTGACCACATCCAGCAGCTTAATATTCCATATTGATGTAGTCATTCAGAGATGTTGAACTCATATCTCAGATGTCAATGCTACAACGTAAGACCAGTCAGTGAAGGATAATCACTTAAAGGTGTATGAAATTCATGAAAACTTAGTTGAAGATGATATATGAGAAATACTCAAGTGCTTTATACAGTCTCGTATTCTATCTTATGAGAAGTGGATGGTTTTAATAAATGATTAACCGTAAAGGGAGCGAAAACAGGTTGTAACTTATCCAACTGACAGGAGGAAACTATTAAAATTTAAAAGTTTATACAAAAAGTGAACAACTATAGAGTGGAATTGACCTCTTACTTGCCAAAACCACGTTCCTTGCATAAGAATAGTCCAATTACGCACTAAACCATAAATCGGTTCATGTGGAGACACCAGTTCAGCAAATGATATCCCAATAGCTAATACAATCATTCCACATAGAAGGAGATGAAGATACACATCCAACGAACTTCTTCCATGTAAATGAAATAGGAAGAGAAATAATTCCGCAAATAGTGCTATCATATTAAATAGAAATTCTGACTGACTGAAAAATAAGAAAATTGAAGAGCAATAAATCTTAGGAAGACAATGATGTAAACGAACGTTTGATAAGATTTCGAATGAAACTACTTCATAAATGTATATAATAGATATGAGAAGTTGAAGATCATTTACATCAGCAGTCGGCATCTAAAAACAAAACAATAATAATGTATTCGCTTCATTTCGAACGATAATTTTGTTCATAGTAAAAAATTCTCAGCATGTTATATTGTCAGGATCGGGAAAGCAAGACAGGCCTTCATTAATCTGAAATCTGTGTGCAGATCTTCTGCACTCAGCATGTGGAACAAGATTCGGATTTTCAACACTTATTCAGTCAAGTTAGTGCTTCTGTATAGTTCAGAGACTTGGTGCGTCACGAAAGGGATTTCCAATAAACTACAGACGTTCATCAACAACTGCCTACACTGGCTCGATACTGAAGCTCATATGGCCAGAATAATAAGAATAAGCGAGGAGGAACTCTGGCAACGAACCAAATAAGAACCTATCGCTCAACAAATATGCACTGAAAGGAAGTGGAGATGGATTGGATTGGGCATACACTGAGAAAACCGACTGGGAACATCACGAGCCAGGCCAGACAGTCGAGTGGAACCCAGATGGGAAATGAGGAGTTGGGCATCCCAACTGAGGGTGACATGGAGGAGATCGTGCGAGGAGGAAATGAGAGGTTGTGAGCTGTCATGGAGCCAGGTTCAAAAGTTTGCAGAGAACATAGCCCATTGGAGACGTGCTAGTGAAGCCCTATGTTCCATTAGGAAGCCTATGGACAAATAATAATAATAATAATGTTCGTACAGCATTTTTATATATATTAACGGTGATAATGGTTATTATGAACAACAGGACTGCTGAAATACCTAATGACTGTGGGGTTATGATAACTGTTCACTAGTAAAAAGTTGTTTGATAAGACTGTTTCTTACATGTTTTCTTCGTACAATACACAAGCTAATTAAGGTATAGTTGGATTTTTGTATGTAGTTGTGCGTGCATGAAGTTTAGTGTAATTGCTCCCTGTCTTCCCTGAGGACAGACATGCAGAGATACCTGGATCCAGAAGATGCTTGTCATACGACAAAATATCTGTAGCTAGTTGTTTGCAACAGTTGAGATACCTTCCCAAAACCGAGTTTATCAGTATAGTGAGTGGTGCGCCAATCACTCTACTGACAAGCTTCAAAATCCTATGCAATATTCCTATGCATAGTCTTTTTCCTGAAGTGGAGGAAACAATAAATGAGTACGAGCGAATCACAAGGATTAAGGAAACGCAAAAGTTGAGGCTAAGTTATGGCAGACAGTCTGAGTTTCTTTATATAGAAATTCTAGCAAAAGAGTTCCCTCGAAATCAATGGAATACAGAGGAACTAAAACACATCATAAGAAAAGCACAAGCCGAGATAGATCATACTTGATACAATGTCTACTTCGGAGCCATCACTGAGACGAGAATCGTGGAACTGAAGCAGTTCACATCAGTCTTGTTCACCTTTTAAATTGAAATTAACCATCTGACATTTAGAGAGATTCAGTGTGAAATCATTCAGGGAAACTCAGTGACCAATTTTTGTTAAGAATTTATTAAACTGATGACAATTTGAAGAGGAGACGACCTGAATGTTTACCGTTAGGTTATCCATATCGTTAACTAGACTGGGTATAGTTGGGGAGGGTAGTTCATGCAAATGTAAACAGAAAAGAAAAGACGAAAGAATAGCACCATTCGGCACACTGATCTCACTAAGCAGTGAAGTAGAGCGCTCACCTCTGAATAAAGAGTACCGACTCCCCGCATAAAAATATTCATTAAACCAGTACGCAATGCAGAATTCAAAATGAGTTCTCTCTGGTTTGATCAATGAAAGGGTGCAGAATCAAAGGCAGAAGTAAAATCTAAAGACTCAGACTTAACATATTTAGGAAGTTTCTCCAGATTGGCAATAACATTTCGATATGGAATAGCAGGAACACCTTGATTGCTACTTCTGGGCTCATAGGCAAACTGATCTGGATCACCGAAAGCTTCCAACGGAACTCCAGGTCCACGAAGTAACAACTTTTTCATTGTTTTCAGGGACAGTGGGCTTATTGCAATTTGTCTGAATTTCACACGATCCAGAAAATATGAAGTTGAGTAAAATTCAGGTGACTTGAACATGAAGTAAGTGTTTTTCTGGTGAAGAAGTAGACTTACCTACTATCCTTCTGGAATGACTGACTCATCTTAAAGATGGCAGAATCGGAAAAATCAGGAACTACATGGTTATTACTACCACTTATACTGTCCAGTAGTTTAAACTGCATTCCTATCAGCTTGGATTTTCGACTCCATTACTGTTATCAAATAGTTCTCAAGTTATAGTATGATTGCTATGATATTGTTAAGGAAACGAAGTGATAAATTACATCTGAATTTAAAACAGCCTCATAGTTCTTACCATAAAATCCGCTGTATTCGTTTTGAAATCACAAGTATTAATCTAACCGTTCACAATATCGAAGAGCATATTTTACAGTAGTATCAGATGATTAGATGCAACTGGAACAAGGTTCTCAACCTATGGTTTTTGCATGTTTGGATTGTTTCGTTACCAAAAGGGCATATACAACCTTTAAGCTAATCATATCGCCTTAAAGATCTGGACATGTTCTGTTTAGCATTAAACACCCGGACCTTACCACCTAGCTATAAATCATATGTAGTGATTGAGTATCATTTTACGAAGGTTATTTCATTGAAAAGTCATATATTTAATTAGTTAACATAAGTATCTCTGTGATTATGGGATTTATTTTTCTGTCATTACGTTGTCCCTTACTGTGCTTTAAATCTTTGCACGGAGACCTAATTACACCTTGCTACAATACTTAATCTCCACATTCACTTGAATGGCTAAACAGCCTCGATTTACCACTAAATAGAAATGCAGTTGTACTGTTATATATACTTATACATATATTCCAGTTGATAGGTTTATTAGGTGTCTTGATTGGCGTCATCTTCTTCACATTCTCGTGCAGCCTTATAATCACTCTCTACAGATAACAACAACAAACTGAAAATCAAATATACGATCAAAAGAAATGCCCATCGTCTCCCTGAAACGGTATAATTAATTACACTGAATAAGCAGTGATTACGTCAGTCACTTGAATAGATGGTACTGTGATTAGAAAGAAGTTATGTCAAGTTGATTCACTCTAGTAAATATTGAATACTTTCTGGAGATAATAAAAATGTTAAGTGAAGTTCCCTTTTGGTGAGTGATCAAGTGATTCAGGTAGAGTAAAATGAGTTCATAATTTCTTCCACTTTATATTCATTATCCTCGTATCATGTACTACAATCACACATAGATGTTGTTAAAAGTTTAGTTGATAAACAAGCATGCAACAGACAGTGGATAACTAAATGGTTAAGATTTATGTGGGGGGGAGGGGAGTATGGATTAATGTGTATCACTATGAAATCTATTTCACATCAGATCACATCACACTATATAACTTCTTTAACTATTATTTCCTAGAATCACAAGAACCTTAGTTAGAAGATCTATATTTCCCTCACTAACCACTATGATCTGCTCTGCACACTATCTAATCCATTTGTTTATAGGCTTTGAATCAGCAGAATCCACCGTGATATCAAGTCTACTTGTTTTCGCTCATAAGAATGTTGGAACATCGTTGTAAACCTGATCCTCTGGTGAACTCAAATACCAGCTGTAATATTATACATTATTGTGTAAACTTCACTAGACATATCTAGACAACAAGCACTGCATAAATCCGTATACATTTCTTTTACTGACTTCTTCTATAACTGATGTCAACATTGTAATTTTACGCATACAAATGGAGGGAGAGAGCAATCAGTCACACAACATCTGATTGATAGAATAGAATTCGTTTATTTCCTTCATGACACCATTTTTGTCGTCAGCCCACATAAATAAAAACTGATCAGTTCGCCTTAATGCTTGACATCAGATAGCTGTAGATAATTGGTTGGAAACCATCAACATAAATTGTGAGATTGTTGTCACTCATACTGAAGACACATTTGTAAAGTGATGAACTTGCGATTCTTAATCGACAAGTGAAAGCTGAGAACACATTTGTCCACATAAAAATCACTACTCACATCTGAAAAGCTACTCAACACAGATTATACTTTTGGATTCTATGCCTTTTGGTGAGATCGATGAACAGCTCTCATAGTTTATAAATGGCTGCCCTATAGTAGGATTAGTGCAAAGAAGAACAACCACAAGCTTATTGAAGCCAAATCCACTGAGTGCTCGCCACAAGATGAAGACTCACAAAACCGTTGAGCATCTTCCATTAGTCAGAAGAACGCTCCTCTTACAAATAACTGAAGCAATCATCAAGTCAGTCGTATAAGACAAGAATTGCTTCTACACAAGTCAGAATGTCTTGTTTTATTCTCCAGTGTTTGGTTTACATCTCCTGTTACAATGACTGATGTGGCCACTTGAATCAATGCATCTTTATACTCTGTTCAAACAATGATCAGTTAGTCACTATATGTCTATTTCATTTATGCATGCCTCATTTTGTAACTTTAAATTCTCCCTCCCTAACAGTAAATTGTAGTCTGACGAATTTACTCAAACATCAGTCTGTTCAATCGATATGCCCACAATTTTTCACCCTAACATTTATCTCCAGTTTACCTGATCAAGTGGATGGACAAAAGTACGTTAATATGTGGAGTTAACTGTCAGGAGGCTGAGGAGGTGAATGTATTGTCTATTTGCAGTCATTTACTCTTAAACCACAACGCCAGTCAACTAGTGATATAGACAACTGTTTATTTCAACTGAGTTGCTATTTTCGTAATAAAATGTAAGATCATTCAGAAACCTAATTAGATAAGGCCATGAAAGTGGACAGTGGTCATTATAATAAATTTTCTTTATATATTTCACTTGACTGATTTTTACCGTATAA